TCCCTTATCCTCAGAGTCACGGAGCAGGATACCTTTACACCCACCATCTTTGCATCTGTAGCCTTCCAGAACTGCACTTTCTTGGATATCATCAATTTGTCCCAGTTTTTCGCAGCGAAGGCAGTTGCAGGAGAAGAAGTATTGCTCTTTGAGGGCCTTTTGTCGTGTTGTAGTGCTTCCCGCAGTTTCTATGTAACTTATGCATACCTCAGTACATTTCTTTATATCCTGCAGAGCACGCACCACTGCCAATCGTCCCTCAAACACTAAAACAGAATTGGGCGCACAACTGTGATTGATCATAGAAATTACATGATAGATCCCAGTTCCAAGGGGTTTCAGTTCACTATCACAGATTGTGTGTGCATTGCATGCAAACTTACAAAAGTTTTCTGCGATCTCTTTTATATTGATATCAGTCCAACAGAGAATCAAATTTGTAAGGTTTGCCATCTGAGCATACAACACTAGTTTCTCCCCATCAATATCAGCCATGTGAGAAACTAAAGCTTCTATCAGAGTGTAGTTGTCCATGACAGTAGTTGGGATGTTATTTTCACTCTGCAGCTTTTTCCTGATATACAGTTTGATCATCAATCTTATCGTTGGTGCAAGGGATTTTATCTTATCCCGTTCAACTTTCAACAGTGCTTGGCATTCAAGTCGATGCAACTTCCAGTCCGACTTCTGGCATAATTGGCCACAATAATAAACCACTTGACAGGAAGAACACTTCTTAACATTGCAGGATGTAAAACACCATTCACATTTCGGCAATGGTTCACTCTTGGTTTTCGTGGGAACAGAAACATACGGCTCTTGGCTGATGATTACTTCCCCTGGAGAAAAATCTCGGGTAGTAAAAAGGCAACGACCCTATATATATACACTACGGAGTAATATATTATAAAATTAATAATCTTTTTACAATACTTCATTAAATAAAAAAATTATATAGACAATTTAGTTTAATTTCATTATGTTTAAGTTGCACTTTAATAAGAGTTTTTTACTTTTTGTAGATGAGTATAAGAATATTAATAAATATTTAAAATAATACTCCCTCCATCCTAAAACTTTCTTCCCGGAGCACTATTCTAACTTCACGGGAATTTATATTTATTTGTGTTTTTTCATGGCCTATATGATAAAATAAAATATTCTTGTCACCACTTGTTTTGTTAAGCTTTTGATGTAGTTTTTAAATATGTATGTTTTATTTTTTATTTCTATACCAATATTTAAATAAAATAGATTGAAAAAACTTAGGATTTTTCTTCGTTTTGCGCAACGGGAAGAAAGATATAGGACGGAGGGAGTAATTTGTTATCACTCGTTCTCTTTTTTTTTTTTTTTGAAATATAAACTAACTTTCATAAGCATTCTTGTATTTTATTTTTTCATTTTTAAATTTTTCATCTTTCTTTGGTTAAGTGTACTTTCAATTTTTCAAAAATAAAAAATTTTGTTGCATTTTATGATGTAAACTAGGTACGTACCGAACCCGATACCGAACCATCCTGAACTGATGCTTCGAGATCGGGATGGGTACAATGTAAAATCACATATCGAATCGAAATATTTGGTACGGTATCGGTACGAGCTAAGTTCCGTACCATACCGTACCACGCTCACCCTTATTTCCAAGTGCTGCACTAAGCCACTAACTACTAATGTTAATGCCAAATGAGGTTTACACTATAATAGTTAAGCTTTTTTCTTCTGTTATCCTCGATCAAAAATAATGTTATATAATTGCTAAGTTAAGAATATATTGATATTTGTTATAAATGCAATTTTTGAAAAGACTATTTATAAATTTAGTCTGAATTTAAATAATAGAAAATACAAAGTACACCTTAATTTACAACTACAAAGTACATATAGTAGAGTTTTAACGAAAATGTTTAAATTTCAAGAAAAAACTTAATTAGATAGATTTTTTTTAGAAACTTACACTAAGATGAGATGATGAAAAATAGTAAAATATCTCCATTTAACATTCATAGAATAGAGTTATTAAGAAATAATTACCAAAGAAAAAAATCTCAACCTAACGCGTAGATAATTACTCCCTCCGTTTCTTAAAACCCTTCCTCTTTCATTTTTTTGTTTTTCTCAAAACACTTCTCTTTTCTATTAAAAAACCACTTTTACCCTTACTTTTTCATACCCTACCTATCACGTCATACTTTTTCACTAACAACTAAACTATCGCATCAGGGACAAAATTAGAAAGTCAACTAAAATTACACTTTTCTTATTTTTCTCCAAAGTCAAAAGAGGAACCGTTTTGAAAAATGAAGGGAGTATTACTTAGTAAGGACTAATTTCAAAAATATTACTTATAACATACAAAATCAAACACGGAGAAGGGTGAATTCTTTTTTATCCAAAATTAGAGGGCTGCATTTAGGGCTGGGTCGGGAAAACCGAAAACCGATAACCAAACCGAAATCGATCGAAATGAGCTAGAAAAAAAACCGAACTGAAAAAACCAAAACTGAATGTAAAAAAACCGAACCGAACCGTTATTGTTTGGTTCCGTTTTGGTTTTTACATTGAAAAACTGAACCGAACCGAATAAACCGAACTTATTTATATGCTTCATTTTATTTATACGAGTTTATGTGATATGTAAAAAAATCATATAAATAAAAATGTAAATAAATTACTAGTCGATTAAAGTTTTTTTTCTTAACTATCAATTAAACATTTTAACCATATTATAAACTTTAAAAAATCTAAGAATATAAACACAATAACTAATCCTAATATAGAATTATATAACATTAAAAATTAATATGAGTAGTTAACATATTTACATAAAAAACTTTGATGTTATAATGAAAATGAAAGTATTATTTTAAAAAAACACAAATTCTCTACAATTGATTTTACATACGATATCTTTAGGATTATTTGAAATCTTCTAGATGTTTTTAAGGCACTTGACACATATTTTGTATGTAAAATTGAACCGATGAGAACACTAACCTTCTATTCGGCTTTTTTTTGTGTGTAAAAATCAAGCAAAATAACCAAACCCAAACTTACGTATTGTTATTGCTTCATAGAGTTAGTATTTATACTATTTTTAATGCTTTTAAATATTTACTTTTATAAACCGAAAAAATCGAAAAAAACCAAAATAAAAACCGCATAAAACCGAACCGAATAACCAATGGTTTGCATATTTTTTATGCAAAACCGAACCGAACCGAACTGCCAACGTACCTTCCGTTTTGTCTTTGGTTTTGGGTAAAAACCAAACCGCCAAAACCGAACCCACCCCTAGCCGCATTCAATATGGATTCTGTAGTACTCCCTCCGTCCTAATTCTTTCTTCTCAGTTTGACTTTTCTCCATTTTTAATTTTTGGTAAAAACCGAACCGCCAAAACCGAACCCACCCCTGACTTTTTTTTTACAATCATTCAAAATATAGAGTTAGAAGATAATTGGTGTAAATACATGAGGGTATTAATGTCATTTGTCATCTTTTTTTTCTAATGAGAAGGTAGCTTTAGGACAGAGAAAAAGGGGAAGTCGGAAGAAAGTTTTAGGATGGAGGGAGTATTTTTTTAGATTTTTCCGCTCGTTCCACCTTTGCGTAAACTGCGTTGAAACTGGTATAGTCGACTGTAACCATAGCTAGTCCCAAATTGTGATCTAGGCCTTCAACGAACTTTTCACACCTTCTTGTGGTAGTGTTTACTAGGTCTGTTGCATATTCCGCCAAATGATCATACTCTTGTCGGTATTCGATTAGAGGTCGTCCATTCTGCCTCAGTTCTGCGAATTGTTTGCGCTTGGCTTCCCTATATCTATCCGGAACATACTCTTCTTTGAAAACATGTTCAAAGAAATCCCAGGTGATATGTTCAGGAGTGGTGGGATCTCTCTCGATTCTTTTCCACCAGTCATATGCCGCATCTTGAAGCAGTGCAATTGCTAATTGTGGCTTATCATCTTGCGGGACCTTCAGAGTTTTTAGAGCTCTTTTGGTTCTTACCAACCAGTACTCTGCCTTACCTGGATTCTTTATCTCGTCTACCAAGAACTCCCCGCCTCCGTTCCTCTTCAACTTTTCCACAGTGTATTGTGGTGGCGCCATATGCTGAACTGCCTCTAATATTTGAGTGATGGTTCGAACATTTTGATTTGTCTCGTCACTATGTAGGTTATTCTCGTTGTGGACTGATTGAGTACTCATCTAAAAGAATGTTATGATATTAATACTACTGCATGTGTATATTTATTATTGTGTTTAATCATATTCATAACTATTTGTTAATGATTGTTTTATATCATGGCTTTGTAAAGTCTTGAAACATATTTTACAATGTCTAATTATGATATCTAAACTTGACTTTCTCACTCTTACATCTTTCTCGTTCTTACTCTCGGATCATTCTAAGTAGGATTCACTTATTTGTAAATTCCGACTTTAGCTAATTCAGAATAAATGATAATTGAATTTGAAACCATACTCGAATCAGGTTAATTATATAAGAATTTTTTATGTTTTCTTTGTTTACATTACGAAACATACATCCACATAACTTTAATTATATAACTGCCAAGTACTAAATATTTAAAATTTACCTTACCGGAGCAATGCTAGCAGATGAGTGGACGAGATGTAATACTTTTTTTTAAATCTTTATTTGGGTCCGAAAATCATTTTAAAACCTGATACGAGTGAACAAGAGGACGGACCGATGGATCAGGATAACACGCGGGTAACAACGGCGTCAGTTCGACTGCGGAGGACGGTGGTACCTCCCCGAAGATATCAAGACTATGTTTAGCATTTATAACTATTTTATCGCAACTTATTTTCTCCCTATTTTAATGTACTCTAGATTTTATTAGGTGAGCGGAAATATAAGCTCCTTCAAGGGTTTTCTTTTCGGTTCTTTCCCTTGACGCTTTTCTTGAACCGACAGGTCGAGGCTCCTTATCACTATATATATTAAGGGGATCTCATTAGAAATTAATAAGAATAAGCCTTTACTTAATTATCTCTTTATTTTTCTCTCCCTTCCTTCTTCGTACCCCCTCTGCCAAAGCAAACCCTAGGCAGTTAGGGTTTCGGCCACAACCCTAGCGGCCCTCTGCCGGAAACCACCGTATCAACTGGTGCTTTCATTCCTGAACTCATGACAACTCCACAACCCACGCCAGAGACGGCCAAACCCCCCCTCACGATGGACGATTTGATGCAGGCTATTACCAACCTCGGCAACGAACTACAAGCAACGAAGATCCATGTCGCACAACTCTCTGCCGGGGCTCGTCAGTTTGGTTGTGATGCACGACGTCCCGAACGCCCTCCTACTGCGGGTTGGCGCCCTCCCCCATCGCGCACCGGTCCACCCCCAAACGACCCGGTGCCGCGCATGCGCGTGGATGCACCCCGTTTTGGCGGAGAAGATCCTACGGGCTGGATTTTCCGCGTACAAAAATACTTCGACTACTTCCTTACTTCAGACGCCGAACGTATGCAACTGGTTCCCATGCTGATTGATCACCCTGCCTCGGAGTGGCTGCGTTACTACCAGGCCAATAACTGTGGCGCAAGTTGGGAGGATTTTTTGGTGGCGGTCCAGCAGCGTTTTGACCCTGATTATTACGAGAACTACGTGGGATTATTATCTAAATTGCAGCAAACTACGACCGTCATGGACTACCAGTCCGCCTTTGAAGCTCTCTTGAATAAGGTCTCGGGGGTCCCAGAACCGACGTTGGTCGCCATGTATGTGGCGGGTCTTAAACAACCCACCCAACGCGAGGTTAACCTTCGCAACCCTAGCTCGTTGCAGGCCACATTTGCATTAGCCCGTGAGTTAGCAGCATGCCACCAGGAGCAAGCCACCACGTCGTACTCGAGTTCGCGTCGCGGGTGGCAACCACGGCTGTCTCTACCTTCGTCGTCCAGTAGCGTGTCTCCCGTGCAACACACTGTACGACCCAGCTTTCCATCCACCAAACCTCCTGAGCGTGCTACTCCACCGAACCTCCCCGTCGTCCGCCTTAGTGCAGCAGAAAAAGCGGAGCGTTCTAAAAAAGGCCTCTGTTGGTATTGTGATGACAAATGGATCCCTGGCCATAGTTGCAAACACCGATTTCTTGTCTATATGGGCCCTGACGATGATGATGTTTCACCGTCCGGGTTGGTACCCACTTCGGGGGATCCTTCAGACGAATCTCTTATCACGGCAGATGTCTCCAGCATATTATCTCTAGCCGGCAACCCGAGCCCTCGCTCCCTAAAACTGGCCGGCCTCATCCGCGGCAACGCCGTGCAGGTTCTCTTGGATAGTGGCAGCACTCATAACTTCATCCATCCCGACGTTGCTCAGCGTTTGGCCTTGGTGCTTCACCCGGCAGCCCCTTTTCGCGTATATGTCGGCAACGGCGATTCCTTGCGGTGTTCGTATTCTTGCCCAGGTACTCCGTTATCGCTGCAAGGTAATCTTTTTGAGGTTGATCTCTTTCTATTGGAGATTCATGGCCCCGATATTGTTTTTGGCGTCTAATGGTTGCAAACATTGGGACGGGTATCTCACGACTATGCACAAATGACGATGGAGTTCTCTTGGAAGGGCGAGACCATAATTTTGCGGGGGGATGTCCAGCAACCGAAGCCCATTTCCTACAATTATTTATGCACTCTGGTCGCCCACACTTCCGGCTGGGAGATGTATGAACTGTTATCTACACCACCCGATGAATCCTTGTCCACCACCGCCCCGCTGCAAATACCGGCGGATGTTCCTGCCCAGATCCAGCAAGTTCTCACAGACTACTCTTCTGTTTTTGAGATGCCCACGGGTCTCCCTCCTTCTCGCTGTTGGGACCACCGGATTTACTTGGAACCTGGAGCGAAACCTGTGAATGTGCGCCCATACAAATACCCGTATTTCCAGAAGGCCGAAATTGAAAAACAGGTTCGGGAGATGTTGCAACAAGGCCTAATTCGGCCTAGTCACAGCGCCTTCTCCTCTCCCGTGCTTTTGGTTCGAAAGAAGGATGGCACATTTCGGTTTTGCGTCGACTACAGGGCACTCAACGCGGCAACAACGCCCGACCACTTTCCGATTCCGACGACAGATGAACTTTTTGATGAGCTTGGCCAGGCCCGCGTTTTTTCTAAACTGGACTTGCGTTCGGGGTACCACCAGATCCGGATGCACGAGGCGGACATCTTCAAAACGGCATTCCGGACCCACGACGGTCATTATGAATTTTTTGTCATGCCGTTTGGGCTAACCAACGCCCCTTCAACGTTTCAGGCCGCCATGAACAATGTCTTCCGTTCTCACCTCCGGCAGTTCGTGATCGTATTTTTTGACGACATACTCGTCTATAGCCCAGATTTGGACACCCATGTCGTTCATCTCCAACAGGTCCTGGCTATTCTCCATGACAATTGCTTCTTCGTCAAGCTCAGCAAATGTTCTTTTTGTATAAACGACGATTGAGTATTTGGGGCATCGTATTAGTGCGGGGGTTCTCAAACCCGATCCTACCAAAATTGAGGCGATGGTTGCATGGCCTGTCCCATCCACAATCCGCCAACTTCGGGGTTTTTTGGGCCTCACGGGGTACTATCGGCGTTTTATTGCGGGTTATGCACTTCTAGCCGCCCCCCTGACAGATTTACTTAAGAAGGATAGCTTCAGTTGGACACCCACGGCGGAGGACAGTTTCAATCAGCTCAAGCACGCAATGACTACTGCACCCGTGCTACGCCTTCCGGATTTTGAACAAACTTTCTATTTAGAAACAGATGCTTCTGACGTCGGCATCGGGGCCGTGCTTATTCAACAGGGCCATCCATTGGCATTCTTTAGCAAGAAGCTGGGGCCTAGGCGACGGGTTGCTTCGACATATCATAAGGAACTATATGCAATCGTGGAGGCCGTACAGAAATGGAGACAATATTTGTTGGGCCGGGAGTTCGTCATACGGAGCGACCAGCGGAGTCTCCGCGAATTACTTTCTCAAATAATCCAAACCCCGGACCAACAATTTTACGTCCGGAAGTTGATGGGTTACAAATTCCGGATAGAATATAAACCCGGGTCCATGAACCGGGCAGCCGATGCTTTATCTCGTAGGGAAGAAGACGACCCAGTGGTGCTACTGATGACCTACGCCCAGCCTATGCCACTGGTCATGAATCAGATTCGGGAAGAAAACACTACACTGGCCGATTTGCAGCAGCTACATTCCGCCGTCCAGTCCGGTGCAGCTCCCCCGAACATCTCCGTCCATGATGGTCTTCTTTATTACAAACACCGCATCTATATCAGCGCGACCTCCCCATCGCGAACGCCGATATTGGAGGAATTTCACAGCACACTGCTGGGCGGACACCAGGGCGTGGAGCGCACATTTCGGCGTGTGGCAGGGGTGTTCTACTGGCCTAATCTGCGCAGGGATGTCCGCACCTTTGTCGCCTCCTGTACGGTGTGTCAAGCTACGAAGTACTCCACCCAGAAACCCGGGGGGCTGCTCCAACCACTTCCAGTACCCGAACGTGTGTGGGAAGCGGCGTCGATGGACTTCATCACAGGACTGCCACCTTCCCGCGGCTTTTCTGTCATCTTGGTCGTGGTCGATCGGTTGACCAAATACGCCCATTTTGGGGCTATGGCATCCGGGTTTGATGCCCCTCGTGTGGCGCACACTTTCGTAGACATCGTGGTCAAGCATCACGGGTTCCCAAGCAGCATTGTATCCGACAGGGACCCCATCTTCATGAGCTTATTTTGGAAGGAACTGATGAAGCTAAGCGGGACTTCGTTGAAATATAGCACGTCGTATCACCCCCAAACAGATGGGTAGACCGAGGTCATGAACCGAGTCCTAGAACAATATTTGCGGGCATTCGCCCACGAACGCCCTACACGGTGGTCGGCGCTGCTTCCTTGGGCCGAACTGTCTCTCAATTGCAGCTTCAACAGCAGCATCAACATGGCTCCGTTTCGTGCGTTATACGGGCGCGAACCCCTGGCATTATTTCCAACCCTCTCCGTTCAATCTCGGGTGCCGGCTATTGAGGAGTTACTTACGGAACGGGCTGATCTCTTACGGGATTTGCGGGATCACTTGCACAAAATGCAACAACGTATGCGTGACCAAGCAAATAGCCATCGTCGGGATGTCACCTTCAACGTCGGGGACTGGGTCTTACTCTGGCTACAGCCGTACCGCCAGCACTCGGTGGCCAAGCCGCTGTCTGCCAAGTTGGCACGCCGGTATTACGGCCCGTTTGAAGTCTTGGAACGTGTTGGAGCCGTAGCCTATCGCTTGCGCCTCCCTGCCGAGTGCCGCATTCATGACGTTTTCCACGTCTCCCTGCTTCGGCCCTTCGTGCGCCGTGGGACAGAGACACCACCCATGGCACTGCCGACTGAATTTTTAAAAGGCCGACCCGTCTCGGTTCTGGTGGCCGCAGAACAACAACGCACGATATTGGTGGAGGGTCAACCCCAGGAGCAATGGTTAGTCCGATGGTCGGATGGTACATCGGCGGACATGACATGGGAACCGGTGCAGGAGCTGCAACGCCGCTTCCCAACCCTTCGCCTTGAGGACAAGGCCGACTCCGACCCCGGGGGAGTTGATACGAGTGAACAAGAGGACGGACCGATGGATCAGGATAACACGCGGGTAACAACGGCGTCAGTTCGACCGCGGAGGACGGTGGTACCTCTCCGAAGATATCAAGACTATGTTTAGCATTTATAACTATTTTATCGCAACTTAATTTCTCCCTATTTTAATGTACTCTAGATTTTATTAGGTGAGCGGAAATATAAGCTCCTTCAAGGGTTTTCTTTTTAGTTTTTTCTCTTGACGCTTTTCTTGAACCGACAGGTCGAGGCTCCTTATCACTATATATATTAAGGGGATCTCATTAGAAATTAATAAGAATAAGCCTTTACTTAATTATCTCTTTATTTTTCTCTCCCTTCCTTCTTCGTACCACCTCTGCCAAAGCAAACCCTAGGCAGTTAGGGTTTCGGCCACAACCCTAGCGGCCCTCTGCCGGAAACCACCGTATCAAAACCTTAATGCTCTGATACCAAATTGTAACGCCACGACCCGGATACCCGAATTTATTCGAATATCTGACTCGGGGTGTTAACGGGTGTAACTTTTTGAATCGGTAGATGGAGCATTAAACAAAACTTATTTATTTATTGATAATATCAGAGTAACTATTATACATGCGGAAGCTTAACATATTCGTACAAAATATATATTTCAAAATAACATCTTTATTATTATCATTTTTCTTTATATCATCTCGTCCATCCTTCCATCGGCTTAGCATTGTCCTCCGATTCGGTCACTATTCTGTTTGTGTACCTAAAAAAAATGGAGCCAACCCGATCAGCAAAAGCTGAGTGGTACCAATTATAACAATAGGTACGAAATATAATAGCGTAGACATATACTTTTCTCAAAACTCTTTACTTTGATAATATAAACATATTATTGTATAAAACTGTAGTATCAAGAAAATCAACTTTTCTTTTACTAGCTCTTTGTTTAACTAGGACTTCAAGTACTTCGGGTACAAGACGAGTCCATTATCTTTTTCCGGGACTTCAAGTACTTTAGGTACAAGACGAGTCCGTTATCTTTTTCTGGGACTTCAAGTACTTTGGGTACAAGACGAGTCCGTTATCTTTTTCTGGGACTTCAAGTACTTTGGGTACAAGACGAGTCCATTATGACGAGCTCGTACGTACGGCAATGGAGGGGTACTGGTTAACCCTGTGGAACCTTGTGAACCGTAATTCACATACTAGAAATCGTTTGATGATTTTAGAAAATATAATTTGTATCTGTATGTGTCTCATTAACTTCTTTGAATCCATATTTCAAATTTAACACATATCAATATATTTACTCTATATACGTAAAATAATACATAGAGTATTTTATATTTGCTTCAAAGCTATCTTTATTTTCTTACTAAAAACTTATTAAAAACATCCTTAAAATGTAAAGAAATAGTTTTAGGTGTAGAATATTGAAAAAGTCTCGTCAACGGAGTTGATCGTTTCCGATCATCTTCTCTGACGAGGTAATTTAGTTTTTACGTTCAAAACCCAATTTTTCTTCTTTTTATCATCAAAATACTTTTATACAACATATGTAAATAGTTTGGACGTAAAGCATGTTTGAAATAATTTACGCTATTTATTTTTTTCCCGAATTCTAGTGACAAAAATTAAACAGAATCTATACATGAAATCATTGTATAAATCTACGTATTATATTAAGTAACGATTGTTATACGAGCGACGATATACGTATTATATTTGAAGAATGAGAATGTTAAAAAAAAATTCGGCAGCCCTTCGAAGTCTGACATTCTTCTCTAGTTGCTATAATATACCTAAGTTTGAAATATTAGAGGTGTTGATGTCTTAGTCTCAAACATAGTCCGTATTTATATTAGATATTGCATAGATTACTTCAATACTAAGTTTTAAAAAGTAATGAATGATAATAAATGAATAAGGTCGGTGAAGTTAATTTGGATAAGATCAAATGTTAGTTTAGATAAGATCAAATGTTAGATAAATAATTTCTTCTATTTACTAAACTACATTAATTTGGTTTTAGTTCAAATTTTATTCCAATATATTTTTCGTTGACATTTTTTTTAGATTAATATGTCAAATTTGAATTAGTTGACATAATTATTAAATTTATTATTTTAATTTCTAATCTAAACTGGTAAGATCACAAAACAATTATCCTAGCTTTTTATCAAAAACAACTAGACCGGTTTTTGGGGCATTACAAGTACTATTAATCCTTTTGAGCTTTTTACATTCCCATCTTGATACGTGGTATTACATTCACCCCCACTTAGGAATGCAACGTCCTCGTTGCATCCTTTTTTCTTTTTGAACCCATAGATCTTCCCCGCTAGGTGAACTAAGCCCTTTTGGCGCGTCACGGTCGCAGGGTTGCTCTGATACCATTTGTAACACCCCGGCCCCCACCCTAGTCGTAAGTGTCCGCTCATAGGATTGTAGACTAGCCCCAAATCAACACAAGTCTTTCCGCACACTTTATCCTCACTCGTGCGCGTCCAAGTAAAACTTCCCAGGGTTCACCCATCCCAGAATTGCTCCAGGTTAAGCACGCTTAACTTTAGAGTTTCTGAGTGATGAGCTCTCAAAAAAAAGATGCACCTTGTTGGTATGGGTAGTACTATCAATCTTTTTGATCTCTTCACATTCCCATCTTGATACGGATATTACAAGGAAGCTTAATTAAGGAGAAAAAAGAGTGTGAATTTATAATTTTATCTACATTCTTAACAGAAATGTTAACAAAAGAGCATTCGTGAAAATGAATATAATAATTAGGGACTAAATTAGTAATATTTGATATATAAAAACTAAATATGTAAAACGATCTATAACTGGTGGGGATCTTTTATAGAATTTACTAATAAATACTCCCTCTGTCCGGAAATATTCTTCCCATTTTCCTTTTTGGTCCGTCCGGAAATATTCTTCTCATTTCTTTTTTTAGTATACTTTAATTTTTAAGGATAAATTTGAATAATATCTTTCTTTCTTATCACTAATATACTTTTTTAGTACTTTTTTAATAATAAAAGGACATTTAAAAGTGTATAGTATGTATATTTTTGAAAATTTCGTACTCCGTATTTTTTTTACTATTCTTTAATAAGCGTGCCAAGTCAGCACGGGAAGAATATTTCCGGACGGAGGGAGTACGTATTATACTCCCTCCGTCCTAAAACTTTCTTCCCGGAGCACTATTCTAACTTCACGGGAATTTATATTTATTTGTGTTTTTTCATGGCCTATATGATAAAATAAAATATTCTTGTCAGCACTTGTTTTGTTAAGCTTTTGATGTAGTTTTTAAATATGTATGTTTTATTTTTTATTTCTATACCAATATTTAAATAAAATAGATTGAAAAAACTTAGGATTTTTCTTCGTTTTGCGCAACGGGAAGAAAGATATAAGACGGAGGGAGTATAAATCACCATTCAAACAAACCAATCAATTTAAACCGGACTTAATATATAAGACGGAAGAGAACAAACTTGCAAAAGACGGGTGGTGGGACAGAAGAAAGAAATTAGGGTTTGGGTTGTGCAGAAACCAAAATCGAGACTCTTCGTTTGGAAAGCCAAAATCGCCGCCGTTTATCACCGGCGCGCCTCTCTCTGGAGTACTCTCTCTCTCTCTCTCTCTCTCTCTCTATCTCACACTCTCACTGTCTGAATGTTGTTCTTTTTAAGGAGTGATGATAAAACTTCAATCTTTGCTTATATGAAAGACGATGTAATTTGCTTTTATCTGCGATTCTGCGCTATGGTTTCTTTGTCCTTAGACTAAAAGAAAGAAAAATAAAGCTTTAAGCTATGAATGGAAAATATATCATATGGCTATGGACAAGACAATTCATTTCAGTTATGGGCTTGTTTCTAGTATTAGTATGTTAAATTAATTATGGTTTTATTTAATATTTAGCAAAACTGCAATTAATTTCTATCGAAGTCTGATGCTTTTTTCTCAATTCATCTATCAGACAGGAAATAATGCCTGAGAAGTTGCAAAAAGTTGTTTTACTTGCGATGCCTGTTAAAGATAAAAGCGTCTCTTATTTCAAAGTTGAGTTTTATGCCTTTGATGAAGGCTTATTCCCGTCTAAGATGTCAGGTGGTGATGATGATTTGGTTTTGGTTTCTGGGACTGATGCTGGTCCGTGCCCATTTGTTGCAAAGCATACTAGCCTTCTTGATCATTGTCATCGTTTCGCGGCCTTCATGGCTAACAAGTCTCGCATGTATTATGCCGGGGGAGTCAACTCTAATTGCAGGACATGTCATCAGGATTTTCCTGATCGCGCCACTAGAGAAAACAATGGTCAGAGATCTGTTTTTTGTATGGATACCGCTACAGGGAGTGAGTGGACTAGATTGCCTTTGATGACATATGGTCGATGGGTACCCCAACTTCATGTCCTTGATGGTGCACTTTATGCCATAGGTGGTATGAAAGAAGAACAATCTGCATTTATGGAGGTGCTTCCTGAAAATGAAGATGAATGGATCACGCTTCCTGATCCTCCATGTCCTGTCAAGCGGGATTACCACAATTTAACAGCTGTTCCAGTTGTAGTAGATGAGAAGCCAGAAGATTCTTATTTCTTATTTGTTTTGTTGCCCAAACTTGATGTGTTTTACACGTACACACCAAAATCAAATTCCTGGGCTGTTTTGGACTCTTCTTCTATCCCTGGCCTAGTCCCTCACACTTTTGCGTTCGACAGCCGTTTTGTCTATCTTTACACGGACATCAAAGCAAATGCACACAAATTAGTTTGGCACAACATACGTCTTGGTCAATACCATGAGGTGGATTTGTTGATGGAAGGAATGATACCTCCTAGCGCGCCATTTCCGGAGGACGTGGGAGTTTGTGAGATCGCATTGTTTCATGTTGGCGGCAATGAATTTGGTCTTTTATGGGTTGATGCTTGTGACATGGGAAAAGGCAGTGATGGCTATTGGTGTTGCAGGTTTACTTTTGACTATAAAAGGGCGCTTGCTGGTCTGAAATGTTGTTCTCTGCTTTGGTACAGCAGATGTATTGGTCCAAAGAGGCCAATCCGGGCTGTTCTTGCTGTGTGAGTGTGTCCCACTCCTTTTCTCTTTCTAATTCTCTTTTTCTGTTGTTGTTGTGGTTCCTTTATTTGGTTCATTTTGTTTTTTACTTGTCTCTCTTTTTTGCGTGTGTAGGGATGTACCTGACCACTCCACAAAGGGAGGGCACTACCATGAGGGCCATTATGTTTCCACGTAAGTCTCATCTGCTTAGCTCTTCTCTTTACAACTTGTGTGTGTGTTTGCAATTGATTGGCATGGCTCACATGTGTCCAGTTTGCAAATATGCTCCTTATTTAGCTGATAATCTCTTTTTTGCCCAATCTGTTTGTTTCACTGCTGAGCCCAGTAGGAATTTTCCTGCAATCTTAGCATCTAGCCAGTAATAGAATGACGGGTGGATTGAACTTCTTAACTCCTCCATCCCCATTGAGCGGGAAGAAATGTGATGCATTAATTATTACTATTCCATTGTATTTTTTTCTCCCGGCACATAAAGTTTCACCCATGTCGATATAGTGGTACTATAAAGTTGTTTTTTTTAATGTTGTGGGAGCAGGCCAAAGCAAGTCCTAGAAAGAAGAGACGGAGCAGAGATGTCAGAAAGGGAGGCACGGTTTGTGAAAACTCTCTTCAAATCTGCAACAATGTGATTGTTGATGAATGTTCTTATTCATTGTGAACTGATAGGTTTTTGTTTATTTTGCTTCGTTTTTTGTTTTTTAAATATTTATTCGGAGTAGGTCAAAGCAATAGTTGGGAAAACAAGACAGAGCAGAGCTGGAACATTAGAAGTTGGTGTTTCTCAGCTCCTTTTCTTTTATAAGGCTCCTTTTTTGCTTTTGGGTACAAACCGTCCAAATTTTGATCTGAATGATGTTTTATGTTTTACAGATGTGTAAATTTATGCATCAAATTATTGTGCTTGGACACAAATGTGTCAAATTGCTAAATGTTGCGTGAAGTATAATCCTATTGGGAGTTGTAAATACTTTGTAGGATTTATCTATTAATGACCAGTTGTGTTAAAGGAATTCCAAGGCTTTTAGAAATTTCTATTCTTAGTGTGCATGTCTTTGGGGAAGTTTCCTAAACATGGCACGCAAGAGTTTTTGAAGTTTCTTGGTGCTCAAGACTTCTTGAGATTTCTTGGGGCGATTGTGAGGGAAAATATACACTGATCCATAGCGTGTTTGTCGCGTCCCAGAGTCAATACTTGCGTGAACAAGTTGCATTCCTCATGAAGAAAATCATCAGCGTGAGAGTGATCAGAAGTTGAACTGAGCTTATAGAGATGCCAACACGTTTGTCCCTGTGATCTCGCTGGAGATGTGATAAGTCGAAATGGATTTGGGCTAGAAATCTTAGGTTAGACTTTTTATTTTTAAGCCTTTTATAGTTATAGCATTGTGCCTAGTTGGTGATGTGACAACAGTCACCTACTTTTGTGTGTGCGCATGTGACAAAGAAGATGATATAACACTTTGCCAGTCAATTTTATATGATTGATTTGTTTTGCATAGTTTATTTTAATTCCACTGCACGAACTTTCAAAAACATTCAATAGTGATTAAATCATGACGAGTGTTTTTGTCCCACAAATCATACAATTTGACCAACCACGTCACTTTTCTGGGCAGCATTGCTATTAGCATCATAATCAAGTGCTCGAAGGGCATGCCTCAATTTGTTCTGGAGAGACATATTCGTAACAATGAACAAGGATCGAACCCCACGACATGGAGTGAGAGAAACATTTTTGAGTTGTTTTTTGGGCTTTAAGAGCAGGCTCCTTGTAGGCTTTCGGGAGCTACCTTCCCTTAACGGTTTGTTCATTTATTGATTTATCTCATCCAGTTTTGGGCTAGGGTGTGGGGCATCATTATTAATAAAATCATAATTAAGCGTCACGAGAACAACAAATCATTATTCTCATTAAATATTGGAGTATAAAAGTGTCAACAACACGATTATCAATTACAGTAACTTGCTTTCACTAAAACAATAACGATAAGTACGTCTTTATCCCTATCTTCCATTCATAAGTTCATAACAAAAGAAAATTGGTACGAAAAACCATTTAAACAATTTTTCATGTCTTTGTCTTCTTGCGACAACCGTTACTAAAGTAAATTAGAAAGTTTTCTTTTTCAAAGTACAACTACAACAATAAAATGTGTTTTTTATTGGGATTACACTTAGAATATTAAATAAATAAATAAATGTCATACAAACTTGGCATGTATTACATTATACTCCCTTCGTCCTAAAACTTTCTTCCCGGTTCGCTAAACGAAGAAAAATTCCAAATTTTTTCAATTTATTTTATTTAAATATTGGAATAGTGCTCTGGGAAGAAAGTTTTAGGACGGAGAAAGTAACTAAATTGTGGGGGTAACGTCTTATGTTTAAAACATAGATTTAATAAGAGGTGGCAAAACGGTCAGTCAGGTTGAGTTCAGATTCGGTCACCTTGGGTTTGGGTTACTTCGATTTTGGGTAAGTTCGGGTTCGGGTTAAGAGCTACATGTTTATGATCTAGTGTCATCGGGTTTGGGTTGACCCAACGAGTTATGACTTTCATTTACTTTTTGAAATTTTAGGTAATTTTTATGACCGAGTATTAATATTATGAATAAAAAACTAAATATGCATAAATTTTGAAAAAAAAGTAAGACAATTATGCGATATCATTAAAGTTTTGTATGAAAATATAAATTTATACATTAAAATTGAGTAATAAGCAAAGAAATATAATTAAAATCTTATTTGTATAACATTAATTTACATACTAAAGCATATGATTTTGAAAAAAATCTTACATTTGCGGTCGGTCATGTCGGGTTTGGTTGGGATTGACCCATTTTTAACGGGTAATTTCAAGTTCGGTCAACTTCAGGTTTAAAACCCAGCATCTTCGAGTTGAGTCTCGGGTCAAAAACAAGTCGGATAACTTTTTGCTAGGTCTAGATTAATGTTTCCAGATACGATAAGAGAACATTAAAAAAAACAAGAGAGAGATGAAGTAGAATTGGAATACAACTCGTAATTGATAATACTAATTGGCATGAATGGAATGACCAAGAATTAGTTAAAGAAGAAAAAGAAAGAAGAGGTAAATTTAGAAATCAATATGGTAAAAGTCCAAGCCAGATCAATATATAGTTATATACCCTAGCACCAACAATTAGGTGCCGGAATATTAAATTGTGAAATTTGCATTGAATAGGCATTACAACAAGAATGGTCAAATCAACTTCAAGAAATATTCAGAGATATGATTAATAAATGGAGTAAATAAACATTTTTTCACTACTTAAATAAGTTTCTATTTTCTTTAATAAAAAAGTTAAAAAAAAATGATTTTTTATGTGAGAAGGTCCATAAAATAGTACTCCCTCCGTCCCATTTTAAATTGCCTGTTTGCCTTTTTTCTCCGTCCCAAAATAAATTGTCTGTTAGTTATTTTCGTAAACTATTAAAAATAAAATACCTAAACTACCTTTAAAATAAAACATTCTTTTTCACCTTATATTCTCATTCATCATTACCCTTCTTAAAAAGTAATATCAATTTTGAAAAATCTACTCTATTTTTTATTTTCCTTAAATATGCCTAAAATCAAAATAGGCGATTTAAATTGGGAAGGAGGGAGTATGTAACCAAGGTGCACCATAGAAATACTTAAGGATGTAAATAGATATTAATCGGATTGAATATGTCATAACCAAATCCATATCCGTTTATTTTTGTCGGATATTAAATTTGGATATGGACTTGACAGATATTGAAAATCAAAATCGCATGTGTATTCGTCAGATATCTGTATCTGTTTCCAATTTTTAAAACTAAATTAAACAATACTTTAGTTGTCAATTAAACTAAATCAAAATATTATTAAATCAGCTATAATTTTTTATGGGATAATTGTTTTCTTATTTTTTTATTGTTTATGATATTCTACGAGGATTTCATATCATAAAAAGATATACACAGTACATATACACACACATTTTTATACGTAAAATATATGCGCACACATATTGTACGTATAAAAATGTCTTATACTTTGAGATATCAATAAATAAACAAAATATAAAAGTAAAAAACATTTAGAAAAACTATATAACGGATCAAATACATGATAAACGATTATTTAAACAGATGTCAATATAGAACGGATTTATAAACAGATCAGATTTATGATTACCAAATTTGTATCCATTTAGCAATCAGGTATCCTTAATTGGATACAAATAATAACCACTTTTAACAAAAGCATATAAACAAATATGTTTACGGACGATAATCAAATTTTCGGTTATTCATTTATGGCCCTAAAAACACTATAGGCAAACACCCACAAGGTTCTTTAGGAAGAGACGAACTAGTAGACAACCCCAGAAGGAAAGAACTAAAGAAGAGATGTAGGTGTTAGTAGCAAGTGTCCGAAAAAAGGGGGAAACAAAATAATTAAAAAACACTTAAAGTGGCATATCAACATAATTTAGAACCCATAATCCCATATAGAACCTCACTTTGAAGAATCACTAGATTCAGAAAAAGTGTGTATATTAGAAACAGAAGAAGAAGAACATCAAACATGTAGCTTTAGTGAGGACACATCATCTGCTAAATCAAATTTCTAGAAATAATCCTAAGTCAACATTTATCACAGAAGAAATTAAAAAGAAATATTTACTCTGCACATGTAGACTCAGGAGCCAGTATTAGTTTCACATCAGAATAGGAAATTAATATGGAGACCAATAGAAATTTCCATAGCGGATAATAGTGTCCATGAAATACGATTAGCAAGTTATTTCTACACTGGAAATATCTGACACCAATAATCATGCATACACATTCATAATTCCCTCCATGTATATGCACGAATCAGGATTTGAGACTGTTAGGATAAAATTAAGCATGAATCCAAAATACTAAGAATGCCCATTTCAGATCTGAAAACACAAATCAAACAAAACCAAAACAAACAGTGCATTATCCCATCCATGAAAAAGACACCATTTATCTTCCACGAAAGTACTGGCAGAATGTGTTCCCTTGGTCCATAAATTTCCCATATGTCTCCCTACACAAAACACATGTAACACGCCATTAATGCACAAAATCATAATATTGTTAATGATGTGAGAAGCAATACCATAATGCTTACCAGCCCGCCGACAAAGGAAACCATCCCGGATAAGTGTAATATGGTCTTCTATCCCTTATATGGCGGATGGCATTTCCCATATAGCGTATTACTTCCGTTGCTTGGGTGTACTGGGGAGGTAAAGAATGAGACATCCTCTGAGATAGGTACATCTTCAAATCATAAAACGGCCCTGCACTAGCATTAATCCCCGAGATAAAGCCCCGCATCCGATTCATGAAATGCTCGAAGATATCATCATAGTTCATAATATCTTGGAGCCTATACATCTGGTCTAACGATGCAGTCTTCCAAAACCAACGCAAGGCATCTCCAGTATCGAAAATGAGTGGGTTCTTGCAAACAAAAAGCAAGAAATCCCTACATAATCAAACAAGAAAGCTATTTCAAGAGGGGAAGTGATTTGTGG